GCTCTCCGTAGAATGAAAGATGACACAGAACACAGCAGTAAAACAGAAACCAGCACAAGACACCAAACAATAAGGACACAGACCAGAAACTAAACAGAAAAAATGGATTAMAGAAACAACATAAAGAGCGATAAGGTAAATACTGAAAGAATTCCAAAATACACAAACTAATAAACTCAAAGAAGACACTCAGATCTGATGCCTACCTAGCTTCTGTAATAGAAGTAAGGGTTTGCTTAGGTTTCTTGTGAATTTTAACATGATAATTTTTTAAATGAGATTTTATTTACAACTGTTTATTAATTGATAAAAGACCGCTTTAACTTAGATTTATTTTAGAAAGCAACCATTTMTTTGAAAAAGAGAGAGGGTTGCCTGATTTTACCCAATAAGATCATTTTTTAAACTCCCATTGTTCTTTTTTTAATGTAATAGAAAAAGGCAAACTTGTGTCGTGGTTAGTGGTTAGTGGTGTACGCTGAGGGATATCTGTTCCTTGAGGTTGGGCGAATTGCCTGTAGATCTCTGAGACAAGATTTTATCAGGAAATAGTGCAATAGTGTCCAAGAGTACAACAGTGTTGAATGAAGCTGAGTAATCAGGGTTTGAGAGATGAGTCAGACAGGAATGAGATCCACAGTTTTTCTGTGTAGAGAAGAAGTACAGATATCATCCCAAAGCCAACATCTAGGTCTTAGGGTAGCATGGCTAGACTCCATTATTTGCTTGCTATCAGTTGTGAGAGTKTCCCCCAAATAAACCTGAGACAATATGAAATAAAACCTTGTATGAACTACAGGATTTGTCCAGAACCCACTGTCAAATGTTTGGATGGAGGAAACCAGACGCAGAGCTTCACCTAACGATACAATCCCAACAGCGGAACAGAAGCAAAAAGTGATCCTGGATGAGAATCTTCCTCACATTTCAACAAATCGATACGTAAAATATAAATCTACTTGCAAGTTTTTCATTTTCTGCAGAGACAAAAAATTTTTAGAACTCTTCCAATGTATGATTACTAGGAGGGATAAAAGGAAAGAAACATGGGCCTCTCTTTTAGGATCAGTTCTCAAAAATGATTTAAAAAGGCATAAGGTTCTAAGTTAATACAATTATTATCTTACTTTGCTTTTCACAATAGATAGAAGTATGCAATTTACCAAGCAAAGAATGAACACTTCATTTAAACATCAAATGCTGAAAAATCTTAAATTATGTTAAATTCCATTTAAATAGGCCCATTTTACTTGTGAAATTTCCATTAAACCTTAAAGAAAATGAATCGGTCTTGTGTATACCTTTACTTTTAGCGTGACAAGACCATAAAACATATTTTGACATGCACTGCACTTTTGTTCTCACCTTACGGGCAACTTCCCAGAAACTGCACTTTCGCACTGCTCAGTTCTCGGCGGAAGCCCTTCTAAAGGTTGTCAGTACTGCTGGGGATTGTAATTTGTCAGGAAGATGTGAGAAGAACTTACCTTTTCACAGTGGCAGCAGCAGCAGCTCCAGCACTCTGTGTTTGTGTCCACATACGAGGCGCCGCGGTGACACACCACTGAGCATAGGTCAGCGACACCTCGAATGGACTCGGAGGCCAACCCACAATCACGGCAGTAACACATGTATGAGGAGGAACAACAGACTGGTAGCGGGGGAGTGGAGTGCGGGGAAACTGTGCAAGCCAGTGTGGACAGCTGGGCCGATTAAAAATAGAACCATAGATTTTCTGCGAGACACAAGACGATGTGGATGAATGAAATCCATGACCGGAATACTTTCTGAGGCAGACGAGCAATTAGTGCTAAAACTTTACGAGTTTCTCATCAACTTTAGTTATAATTTATGCATTTAAATCAAAGTATGAGATTTTAATACAACACATCTCAAATATCATTATTTATTTTATTACTTATTCTTTTGGCTGCTCCCTTAATCAGTGGTCACCTGAATTTGCATGATTTGGCAATTGCCCCCCCATTCCTGACACAACAACTGAACACCAAGCTACCATAGCCCACATGTGGAGCAGGGGGGCCTTCTTGGGCACCTGGGAGAACAGCAGGTTGAGGGTCTTGCTTGTGGGGCAAACAAAAGGCCCAACATACTTGATCTGAAGCCGAACAGTCGACACAAGGCCACATGGTTGTTTTCATAGCCCCTGAGACATGCCSAGCTCCTGGGAAAGCCCTCCTGCTGCMGTACGTGTCACTGAACAGGGCTTCGCTCCGCTGGAGTCTACACTTCAAAAGAAATAAACTCTCCAGCGTCCGCTGTCATTTTGTCCACAAATCTGTTGCAGATAAACCATCATTTTCTGCGACAATGAGATCCAGTGTCTGCAGTTCGGATGGAATATGTAAAGGCCTTCACACCCACATTTTTGATGCAACGGTCAAAAAGTTTGAACTGGTCACTCGCTTTAACCTCTGCACCACCCTCACAATTTATCATCATCCAATAAAGTGCCTTCAACTAGAGCTGAATCTGGATCTGGAAATCTAACAACTTGTGACTATAAATGGATTATATACTGTATGATTTACTGATTTTTTTTTCAAGTTTTACCTTGGAGTTTGTTCTGTTCTGATTTGTAAATGTAAACAAACATACCTACCTGAGGTTGAGAACAYGATAAACCGACACTGCATCCGCAAGTTATGATGTGATAGTGAGTATTTCAGTATATAAATMCTGTGTTCATTTAAATCCAGCTGCATTTAAAGTCTGATTTACTCAGTCAGCCATATTAGCATGCAGGAGCAAAAAGGAAACCGCACTCCTGGGAGAGGAAAGTTGTGCAGGTGAGCCTGTAATGATACACTGGGCTCATTTCAACTTTGTTTGAGCGTAAAAAGAATGTTTAACAGCTTAYTTTATTAAATAAACCTGAACATTCACAAAGGTATCATAAGACTTAAATCTGAGGTGGAACAATAATCAGAGTTTCATGTTTCAGGAACGCTAACAAGCTCAYAGGACTGAGGCGGCTGTGGGGTCGTTAAAGACAAACACGTTGCAATAATTTCAACTCATTAAACAAGTAGCTTTAACTGCTGCTTCTTCCTGATGGTCAGTTTTTGCTGCATGTGAATATAAATGTATGTCACTACCACGAGAACCTTGTTTATGAGCAGAATTTCAAGTTAGTGAAATCTGGATCAGCTAAAGTTATAAATTATAACCAAACAAAAAAAGTGACCTATGCTGGCTAAATAAGTCAGAGCACAGGCTACAGTGAAAAAAATGTGAATGTTTTTACCTTTCAGCTGGATTGTATAAAAATAAAGCCATTGTAGAGGCTTTTTTCTCTTACACCAAGACACCATATATTAACCTCAGTAATTAAATTAT